CTCGTGGGTGAAGGTACGGTTGATCGAGACTGATGTAGAGGTCGGTGCAGATCCAGTAGATTTGACAGGACGAGCAGGAGATGAAAGGATATGAATAGTTGGAATGCTAGATTGAGCTTTGTCAATGACAGATACTGATGAAGTTGAAGAGCTGAACGAAGATGATGATGTATCATTGAATAAAGACATGGCTAAGACAGAAATATTGATCTAGCGCTCGCGTTGTTCTATTCAAATAGAATGATCGTCAAAAATCTGTGAGAAATCAGAAGAAAAAGCGCTATCAGATTACAAAAGAATTCAACAAAGGACAAGATAATCCGCATGTTTATCTTTTACCCATCAATTGAATATAATCCTGACCTTTTAGTAAATTTCATTTCGATATTGAATAAAAATATAGATGACACTACTAGTCGAATAAGGCAAGTTCAAGTCGGTTCGATTCGGTTCGATCATCTTTCAATGCGTACGATTCGATTCGATTCGTCTCTCTCGCACACTCAGTTCGATTCGATTCGATTCGATTCGATCTCTTTTTGAAATATCGGTTCGAGTTCGGTTCGGTTCGCCTGAGTCGAATCGAACCGAATCGAATTGGCGAATATTCGGTTCGGTTTCGGTCTCTGAGGTGGAGATATGCAGCATGCCTAAAAAACAACTACCAGATTAGTGCAAAAGACGACATAAACCATAATGCAGTGATAGAGACGACCATGGACATAAAGTTTTATCGAGTATAAGAACGTGATCGCTCCATGATATCTCCAGCTATTTTTCTCCATCATTCTTACAGATTATTGCACTAATATTTCTTAAAAGATAGTGTCTCATTTTTCAACAAAAACCTCCTCATTTATTTTCACAGTATACTTTATTTTAACAAAATTCAAATAAAACTACACACACACACACACACACACTCATATGCCACCAGTTTCTGTATTAATTTATTTCATACTCACCAGTTTTGTCTTGAGAGATGAAATCTGAAGTTTGCCAGAAATGAAGATCAATCTTACATTCAAAGATGATTTTTAAGTAAAGTTTCAGAATGCTTGATTAGATCATGAGCCAGAGACGTCCATAGCGGTGCTGCCGCTGCTGCGGTGGCGGTGGCGGTCGCGTTGCGGCAGCGGTTGAATTTTTGGAAAATTTTCTTTCATTTTTATCGGAAAAAAACTCTATAATGCTTGAGATTTGCTTCAGCTCCAATAAATTCGTCATTGTCGTCCATTTTATCTCATAAAATAATGTAATAGATGTTTCTTATTCTATCGAAGAGGAAGTTTTACAGACTGTATTATTAATGCTGCAGCGGCGCGCAATCAGTTTTTTAGAAACTGCAGTGGCTGACTTTCATCCGCGATGGACATCTCTGTCATAAGCCAAAAATAAACAATTTTCAAATGTTATAAGATGACTAAGATAAAAATTTCTATTATAGAAACAATATTCGATATTTACTTATCGTCCTCCCGTTCGATCAAATCGTTTAACCGAAGGTGAATTAGCGTTTGCACATCAAGAACGTTTAAAAGAAATTCATATGTGGTTAATTATTCGAGAAATGTTGAGTTACTTTTGTTTTTTCATTTTACTTTGTACAATAACTTATCCAAATCAAAATTCCAATGGATATTTTCAAGTTGATCATTTACAAAAGTATTTTTATAATTCAAGACAAATCAATTCTGATTATTTAAAGGTTAGAGATTTTTGATTAAAATATTTTTCTATTCCTATAAATAATAGATCTCGACCATAAATGAATATTGGTCATGGT